CAAGGGGCTCAGCCTCCAGAGCGGGCGCCCCGAGCGCGGCCCCCACATGCCCCGCAAGGTACGACCCCAGCACGGGGGAAATAGCCATGGCATAGAAAAAGTAGCAATCAGGGAGAGAAAAGAGGGATTGCATGGAGAAAAGAGCACCTGGGGAGATGAAATTGCAATTGCACTCATAAAATGCCAACTCGATAAATAAAACGCAACCTGGATAGATAAAACAGCAGTCAGGTACATAATATAGCAGTTGAATAGGTAATATAGCTATTGCATAAATAAAACAGCAGTCAAGTAGATAAAATATCAGTTGCACAGATAAAATAGGAATTGCATTAATAGTGTAGCTCCTGGATAGATAAAATAGCTATTGCGTAGAGCAAATAGCAAGCAGGTAGAGACACTAGCAGTTGTTCAAATAAAGTAGCAGTTGCATAGGTAATGTAGTAGTTGGATAGATAAAATAGCAATTGCATAGAGCAAATAGCAGTCAGATCAATAATATAGTAGTTGTAAAGCTGGAATAGCAAGCGGATAAAATAGTAGCTGAATCAATAAAATAGCAATTGCACGGATAAAAATAGCAATTGCTCAGGTAAAATAGCGATAGCACAGATAAAAAACAGGAATTGCATGGGTAAAATAGTGATTGCAGAATCACAACTGCAGGGATAAGATTGCGGCTGTACAGAGTAGGCAGCAGTTGTGCATTGTGGGTGGTGGTGGGCAGTGGGAGGGTGCCCGCGTGGTGAGGGGTGGCAGGCCTGGGGACAGGGATGGGACAGGGACAGGACAGGGATGGGACTAGGACATGGCGGCAGGGATGAAGGTCTGAGGTTGGGGATGGAGACAGGATGTAGGGATGTAGGCATGGGGGTGGAGACATGGGGACACGAGGACAAGGATGTGATGACCGGGATGGGAACAGGAACCAGGTTGGAGATGGGGACATGGGGACAGGGACTGGCATGGGGACAGAGACCAGGATGGGATGGGGATGAGGATGGGGGCACCAGAAGAGGGACACAGGCATGGGATAGGACAGGAACATGGGGATGGGCACTTGGGGACCAGGATGGGGGCACAGGGACCAGGAGGAGAACAAGGACATGGGGATGGGGACGGGAATGTGGGGACCGGCATGGAAAGGTGGGAACAGGGACTGCAATGGGGACTATGAGGGGGTGGAAGACACTGGGATGGGGATACAGGACCACAGTGAGGACAAGGACATGGGGACCAGGACAGGGACACAGGCACCAGGATGGGGATGGGGACATGGGGACAGGGATGGGGATGATGGCCAGGGACTGGGATGGGGGACAGGGACTTGGATGGGGATATGGAGACCAAGAGAGGACAAGAACATGGGGACCAGGACAAGGATATGGGGGCAAGGATGGGGACACAGGGACCGAGATGGGGAGGGGGGGGAAGACATGGGGACAGGGATGTGGGGACCAGGATGGGGATGGGACAAGGACGCGGAGACATGGGAGGGGATGTGGGGATGTGGAAGGGGACCTGTGGGGACCAGGCTACTGCTCCCCACAGCGCTTCAGCATGGAGGGCATCTCCAGCATCCTGCAGACGGGCATCCGGCACACCTTCGGCTCTGGCACCGCCGACAAGCAGGTTCTCCCTTTTGCCCTTTTTTGCCCCAAAACAACCAAAAACCCCATGCAAATTAAAATTAACCCTTTGCTGCATCAGCCAAAAAAAGCGGCAGCTTGTGATCGCACAAGCTTGCAATTGCACTGATTCGGGGCAGTGCAGGAAATGCATTTTTAATTGCTATCGCTTTTTGCATGGGTTTTGGGGTTGTTCTTTTTGCAGTACCTGAACACGGTGATCCCCTACGAGAAGAAGGGCTCGCCACCCTCCGTCGAGGACCTGCAGATGCTCACCAACAGTGAGTCCTCGCTTGGGCAGCTTTGGGGTGCCACAGCCAATTTGGGGTGCGATCGCCCATTTTGCATCATAGCAGCATGGTTGATTTGGAATGAAATAACGCATTTTGTGTCATTGTAGAACAGCCTGTTTGGGGTGCAGCTGTCCATTTTGCATCATTGCAACGTGGTTTAGGGCACAATCACTTGTTTTGCATTGGTGCAGCACAGTTCACTTGGGGCACAGTTCCCCATTTTGCAACCCCTGGCATGGCCCATTTGGGGGGTGCAGTTGCCCATTTTGCATCGTTGCAGCACAGCTGGTTTGGGATGCAATCACCTGGTTTGCAACCCCCAGCATGGCCAGTTTGGGGCACAATTGTTCATATTTGCATAACTGCAGTATGGCCAGTTTGGGGGGGGGGGGGCTCGTTTTGCATCATTGCAGCACAGTCAATGTGGAGTGCAATCACCCATTTTGTATCACTGTGGCATGGTCAATTTGAGGCAACCCCTGCAGTTTTGCAACCCTTGGCACAGCTGATTTGGGGTAAAAATACCTGATTTTCTATGGAGAAGGGGGAAAGGGACATTTTGGAAGGGCGGGAGCTGGTGGCAGTGGGGCTGCCTAATTGGCTTGCAGCTCGTGTGTAATTAATGGGGGGGCAGGTGCAGTGGGTGCCTCCTCACAGCCCCTTGCCCCCTTCCAGTCCTCTTCGCCATGAAGGAGGGGAACGAGAAGGTGCCAACCCTGCTGACGGACTACATCCTCAAAGGTAATGACGGCTGTCTCATTAGGACGCCTGCGTGGCCTCCAGCCTGTGCCAGGTGGCCTCATGAACCCTCGTGCATCCCCTGTGAATCATTCTTGCATTATCTTGCACTTTTTGTGCATCCCCGTGCACCCTCATACATACCCTGTGCCTCGCTCTTGCAACCCTCATGCATCACTGAAGCATCATTCTTGCACCTTTCTTGCAAATGTGTATCCCCATTGCACCCTCATACATCCCTCTTCCACCCCCGCCACGCATCCAGCTTGCACACTTGTGCATCCCTCCTGCATCATTCTTGCACCTTTTGTGCATCCCTCTTGCATCCCCCTTGCATGCTTGTGCAGCCCTTGTGCACCCCCCTTGCACCCTCCTGCATCTCTTCTGCATTCCCCCCCCTTTGTAACTGCATGCATCCCTTGTGCATTCCTGTGCATTGTTCTTGCACCTTTTGTGCATCCCCCTTTGCACCCTTGTGCATTCACCCATGTCCTCCGTGCACCCTCATGCCCCCTCGCGTCCGCTCGCGATGGTCTCTCTCTTGCAGTGCTCTGCCCGACCTGACGCAGCGCTGCCGAAACCGGGGCCAAACCCGAGAAAAACGGGCCACCGCTGCCCCTCACCCCTCCCCCCTCACACTGCCGGGAAATAAATAAATTAATTCGTTTAATTAATTAACCACCCCACCTCCTGCCTCGTCCTCCACTCGCCTGTGGGTACCTAGGACAGACTTTTGCTGCAAGTGATGCTACAGAAAAGCTGCAAATGGAGGGGAAAAAAGAAAAACCCTCAAAACCGAATTTAGGGGGAATTGCAGATTTTTGCAGCATTGGATCATCCCCTTGGGGCTGTATTGCTCGTATTTCGGGAACATGCATTTTGGGGGAGTATCACTCATTGTGAGGACAATATCTCATTTTGAGGGAGAAATTATTTGGGGGGAGAGTCATGAATTTTGGGGGCATAACATTTTTGGGGAGCACTGCTCATTTGTAGGGGGAGAATTACTCAATGGGGGGGAGCATTGCCCTTGCTCATTTTGAGGAAGAATTACTCATTTTGGGGGCAGCCTCACATTTTGGGGGTAGTGATGTTCCTTTTGGGGGACAACTGCTCATTTTTGGGCTGTGTCACACAATTTGTGGGAGCACCACTCATTTTGGGGTACATCCCTCGTTTGGAGGAGAATTGCTCATTTTTAGGTTACAGCACTCATTTTGGGGGAGCATCACAGTTTTTGGGGGGAGCATCTCCTTTTGGGGAGCACTGATCATTTTGGGGGGAAAGCACTCATTTTGCTGGACATGGCTCATTTTGGGGGAGAACAGCTCACTTTGGTGGAGCACTGCTCGTTTTAGGGGGTCTGTGGCTCATTTTGGGGGAGCACTGCTCATTTGGGGGGTTAATTGCTTATTTTTGGGCTACATCACTCTTTTTGAACAGGATTTGCTCTTTTTGGGGCTAGCATCACACATTCTGAGGGAACACTGCTCATTTTGGGGAGAATCGCTCATTTTTGAGCTCCATTGCTCATTTGTGGGGAGAATCATTTTTGGGCTACGTCCCTCATTTTGGGGGAGCATCACTCCTTTTTGGTGGAGCACCACTCATTTCGGCAATGGGGCGGGAGGCGCATCTCATTTTTAGAAACACTCATTTCCAGAGTGCATCGCTCATTTCGGGTGAGATTTGCTTGGTTTGAGCAAGCACCAGCTTTTTGTGGATCCCAGCGGGGAGCCATGCATTTCGGGGGCAATTCCCCTGTTTTCACTCCATCTGCACCGGCCCCAGCAGAAGAAGCGCCCAATAAAATACAGGGGCAAAAACGTCGTCTCGTAGCACTTTATAATAAATGGTCATGAATTAATACTAAATTACAATGAATTCTTTATGAAATTACAGATTACATTCACGCCAGAATCAGTATCGAAAAACAGGCGTTTCAGCCCATTGCATCACGTCGTGGCACCGCTGCCCCTTTTATCCCACAGCGGTGATTTCTTCTCAACTCCTCAAGAGCCAGAAAAAGGCCAAAGAAAAAAAAAAAGGGTGATTCTCCCAGCCGCAAAATCCTTATAAGCGAATAAATCCTACCTTTTTGGGGTGAACCTGCAGGAGAAAAACGCAATTTTTTTTCCCCAGGGGGCCAAAGCAAGCCCCTGACACCGCTTCCGTCCTGTGCTGCGTTGTAAGGCGAATTTTCCCATTTTAATACCATTAAAAATCCCCTCAAAATGGCATTTTTTTGCAGGGTCGCGTTCCCCCAGGCTTCTTCGGGGCGTTTGAGGGGAAAAAAAAACATTATCCTGCCCGCGTCTTTCCCAGTGGATGGAGGGAGCAATATTGGGGCTGAATCTTTGTTTTTGTGACTTTAATTTCCTTCCACCTGGGTGATTCTCCAGGTCGCCATTGTGTTTTGCGTGAAAAAAATCTGTTTTTTTCATCGTTTTTACTGACTTGGTGTCAAAACGCCATGGGAAAGTCTTGCTTACAGCAGGTTTTGCCTGCTTCTGTAGCCAATCACAGCCCTTATTAACGAGGGTGGGTTTTTTTTCCAGATTCACTGGGTTTTTAGCACATAAATTAAAGGATTTGGGGTGGGGGGGGTTGGCCTTTTCCAGCAAGTCACATATCAAGTCCCCAGATGTGAAGGTTTTGGGCCATTAAACCGTTTGAAAATCCGGTTTGCACTCAGGGCTTTTCCCATGCACGGAGAGTGGCGATCGGTGCGACCGTCCGACATTTTTTCAGGGGAAAAAAGAAAAAAAAGCCGAAAAAAGAGGCATCTGTCCTTCTGTGCCAGGAAATCAAAGCGGTGGGAACGGAGCTGGTGGCAGGGGGAAGAAAACGGCGCCACACAAGATCAGCCATCGCGGGGGAAACGGCTTGCCCAATGGACTTGCTTTTTATCAAAAAGAAAGGGAAAAAGGGGAGAAAAAAAAATGAAAAAAACCGGCCACAATATGTGCCTTGTAAACGTGTCCTTCACTTAAATAAGCCAGAGGATCATAGCAGAGCCTGGCGCACTCCCGTTGTTCCCCAATGGGACATTCATGAGGGGCTGAAATTAGCATTTTTTTTTTTTTCCTAAAAAAAAAAATCTCCTTCCCCCCCCTTTTGTCTCCTTTCTCGCCCCCCCTTTTGTCTCCTGTGTCGGTAGGTTGGGGGGCGGGCGTCCTCCTTGCGGTACGGCAGGCGCCTCGCTACTCCAGCGAGTCACTGTGGTCCAAGCCGAGGGCGCCGCCAGGCTCTTCCTCCAGCTCCTCCTCCTCGTCTTCCTCCTCCTCCATCTCATCTTCCTCCTCCTCTTCATCCTCCTCCTCCTCGGTACCGTCAAGGGAGTCGTCATGGGCCACCAGCATGGCCTGCTGCATGGCCATGGTGGCTGTGGCTGAGGAGAGAGGCTGTAGGCTGTCCATGCTGAGGGAGCCTGCAGTGGGGAAAAAAAAAAAATTAAAATAATGCCCTGCCACTCATATAAAGAGGAGGAAAAACACAAATTCGCCACCCCTGTGCCTCTATGATCCCAAGCGGGAAGCCCTATCTACCTTTCTGTTCTCCTCTTCTGTTCATCTTGACTTCCTCTTCATCTCCTCTTGTCTAGCCGCTTTTCATTTCTCTTCTTCTCTCTTCCTCCATCTTCACCTTCTTTCACATTTTCTTCCCTTTTCTTCATCTTTTCGTCTTCTCTTCCATCTTCCTTCTTCTTGTCTAGTCTCCTCATTTCTCTTGCAGCTTCTCAACTCACCTCTTGAGCTTCTTTTATCTCGTCTCTTCATCTTTCATCTCGTCTCTTCATCTTCTTTCATCTTTCTCATCTCTTTTCTACTCATCTTTTCATCTTTTCTCTCCTCTTCACCTCATCATCTTTTCATCTTATTATCTTTTGTCGTCTCACCTCTTCATTTTCTCTTTCTCCTCTCTCCTCTTCCTCTTCATCTCTTCATCTCTCTCCTTGTCTGGTCATCTTCATCTCTTCATCTTCTCATCTTCTCTTCATCTCTTCATATTTTGTCTCATTTCTCCTTCATCTTCTCTCTCCTCTTTATCCTTGTCTCTTCACCTTCTCTCCATCTGCTCCCTTCCCATCTTGCCCATCTCTTCTCATCTCTCTCATCTTCCCTCTTTTCTCATCTCTCTTCATCTTCTCCTCTGCTCGCCTCTCCTCCAGTCCTCTCCACCCTCTCCCCAGCTCCTCAGGAGGTCTCCAGGGTGATGCCCAAAGTTGGGGAGATCCTTGAGGAAAACAGGGATGTTCCCAGGCTGAGGTGATAACAGCAAGCTGGGTACCAGGGCCATGATGCTGCCGCACAAGGGCCCCATTGGCAATGCACTTGTGATGGCCAAGTGGAAGACCACCTCTCGCACAGACCTCTTACTAGATTTGGTGAGCAAGGGCTCTAAATACCCTTAATTACCAATGTCAGGTCGTAATTTTATGTGCAGCAGCCCAAGCTGGTACGTGCCCCAGGCTGTCTCGCCATACTTACCGTCAGGATTTGTCCCGGAGTTGCTGCCCTGCTGCTGCAAGACCCCGGCGGCAATGGAGTTGGGCCAGAACCGCTGGGTGGGCCGGTGCTGCGATTTGATTTTCTTGGCTTTTGGGGCTGGGTCTGGGTTGCTGGCATCGAGCATGGGCTGCAGGATGCGCCGCCGGGCGTTGATAAACCTTTTTCAGGAGAGACAGAGGGCAAGAAGTTAGCCACAATGGCCAAGAGCACGCCAATAAATCATAGTCGTTATAAAAACGTAATAAATCGTAATACAAAACCCTTTAGAAAAGTGCCTGGGTGGCCCAGAAAGCTGGTTTTTACCCTGCTTCACTTGTTTGTGGCTTGTTCTACCATTGCACTGATTCTTTCAGCTATTAATTGCAGCAGGAAAATACCGGCTGCTACATCTCAGGCTGGCCAGGAGAGGGCACTGAGCCATCGCAAACGAACGCCTACAACTTAATGCCTTAAATAAACCCAAGCCCTGTCTCGTATCCCACAACACCTTACACAGAGCCTAAATAAATTGCAAAACCTGTTCCGGACTTTGGGTTTAAGCGATTTTAAGGCTACATTTTTGGCTACGCAACGGGGCCGTTAGTATGCTCTGCTGTATCCGGTGCAATGCTGAGTACTGAAAATAGGAAGGGGGATAGTTTTAAGCATCCCCTCTCAAAAGAGACTTATGGGAAGTCAGCGATTTTGGCATATCTGCATGAGGTGGAGGCCTCATGACTGTCCAAAACTGGGAATCAAAAGGCCCCGGTTGCATGTCACACACCGCAGAATGCACTCACCAGTTGTTGACTTGCAAGAGTGTCAGATTGGTTTGGGCCGCAATTTGCCGCTTCTCGTCCTCTGTCGGGTACGGGTGCTGGGAGAAGAGAGACGGCAGCAACGTTACACCCCCACGGGGAGAAACGGCAGCTCCGGAAACAAAAAAATGCGTGTTATTTTGTTTCCCCCCCACCCCCAATCCGTCATTTTTTCCCATTTGCAAGACACAAGACTTGATCAGTGGCTAAGCATCCCACTGTTTCCCTGGCACCCTTTTAGCACTGTTCCTGAAGTAACAGAAAATTTTTCATTAGTCTTAGTGATCTTCCCATCCTTTTCTAATTCTGCTTAAAAAAAAAAAAAGCTATACTGTGCTAAAATCCTCCCTTTTGAACCCCAAATTTCACTCAAGCCAGTTGTTTCCCAGAGCCCCAGGCCAAAGGTTACTCATCGTCCCAACCAGCGAAAGTTGCCTGGCAAAATGGCACACAGGCAAATCTGCAAAGTGGCTTTTAGTCCCTCTTGCAAGAAAGAGCTCAGTGAAAATATT